TGCGGTCGAATCGTGGAGGCGGAGTCTGCAGAAGAAGTCGTATCCTCCTTATCCTCTTTGTTCGAGGTTGTCGATTCTGGTGGAGGTGCCACCGCCTTCTGTTTCTCAGAAGATGGAGGCTCTACCCGGTCAACCTCGGGCTCAGACGTGGCCTCAGCCTCCCGAGAGCGCAGGCCGGGTCCGTTCGCCGAAGGATTTAGTCCGGCTATTGTTGGAGTACCGCACATCGAATGCGCCTTTTGCGAATATACAGACTGCGAGTACACTGATTCGTGCCGTGAGGGCGGCGGAGATGGGGTCCGAGTGGGCCTCAGACGCGCCTCCGTACCGGCAGGAGGTGGGCTTTCGAATAGTGGCTCTTTCCACTCAAAGTTTGGAGTGTGCAGGCCGGAGAACACAACCGAGTCTCTGGAGACCTTGCGACCCCGAGGAAGTGAATACTTCGTGTAGATATACGAAGACACTGCGGATGACGGCTCCTCCTGCGAATGGTTGGCTAGGTCCGATGGCAAAGGCACAATAATAGGACTGGGTTTATGCTCGCGATGCATCGTACCCGATTGACTCGACTGATCCATACCACCAATGGTGACTGGCGCAGAAAGGCTCGTGCTGGACCTACTCAAGGGACGCGAGAAGTTGAACGACGGGCGGGGAAGATAGCCCGTAGTATTTGATGTCTCCGAGCTCAAGGACGGGGACCGAGGATGTGAGCGGGGATTGGCTGACATTGGCGAGAACGGCAGCGACATGGCACTGCAGGACGATAGCTTGCGCGGTTTTGAAAACGTCGACCCTGCGTTCGAACTGCTATAATCGTCATCGGAACTTTCCGGCTGAGTGGCTCTGGAACCGGTAGATGGCCTTGACAGTGGAGAAGAAGGCGGTGCCAGGCCTCGTGGGACATTGAGTCGAGAAGCGGAATCGGTCGATGAATTGCGAGAGGGCGCAGCGATAGCAAGGCCAACAGAGAAGACAGGGCTAGCAGGACTGGAGGGACTGGAGGCATAGAACCGTGGGGGCGCCTCCGGTGCACTGCTCATAGACATATCTTCGTCAGGAGATTCAGCACGCGGGACATCAAAGGTGTCTGGTTCCATAGGGAGCGGCGTAGGTCCTTCAGTCGGTGTGGCATCTTCGTCATCCTGTCCGAAGCCATCCTCGCTGGCAAGGTACGAAACAGCGCTAATGCGAGGGTGCTCGGACTGTGGACGAAACTTTGGCTCCTCAAGCTCCGGATTGTTCTTCTGAGTAGGACGTCTCGCAAGTTCCCCGCCTCTTGCACCTTGAGAGTAGTAAGAATCGCCGGATGATGGGGCCCGAAAGTAGCCTGGTCGACCCTGTGACAAAGATCGTGCGACGCTGGAAGGGGGCAATCTGCTCATGCGCCTTTCTCCCCGTTTCGATTCTTCCAATTGCCGGGCCAGGAGTCGACCCTGAGCAGCGAACGCATCAAGAGGGGAGAGCGCAGGAGGAACTTCGCCGTCAAAATGTTCAATGCGCGGCGAGGGGCTCCGGAGGGTATCGTAAGATTGGGAGCGGGTTTCAGCAAACTGCGGCCGGGAGGCCATGGTTGCGGGAAAAGGGCTTCAAGGCGTTGGAATTTGAGATAAGCAGTTATCCTCTCTGTACAGCGGAATATAGTCCATTCAATTCATCTATCCGGAGTCACTGTAATCGTTCGTGAATGCAACTTTTCGCATTGGAGAGGGTTCTCTGTTGAAATCGAAGATGGTTAGATGAGTCGCGCATAAAACTGCAAGAAGTACCCTAAGAGTAAAAGAAAGAAAATACTTGAGGGGATATAACAAAAGGAGGGGGAAGGAAGAATTACAGAAGTTTAAAAAGGAATGGCGATCCTGTGAGTATGAAGAGTAGTGAAAGGAGCGCAGCAGGCCAGGCTTAGTTGGATAGTGATACTACTTCCTGTGAAGGTCCAATGAATGACGGGGTAGTTGGAAAATTGAAGGAAGATGAAGTCAAGAAAATAAACAAAAACAATGAAAGAGATCAAAGAGTTGAAAGTGCCACAAATCAAGAAGAGCAGCGATGATCAAGCATCGCGACTCCAAGAAAGCGACTGGATATCTAGCCAGATGTGATGATGGCGGGCGTCGAGGAGGGAGAGGGAATAGGCTTCCTAGGTAGTTGGAGGGAACCTAACAAGCTAGATGATACCTCGATGGGTCCCAAACACAACCCATGAGATTTTTCAACCATTCATCTCGACGCCCTGACGATCACTAGATGAAACGAGGGGCGGAATAGCAGAGTGGACTTACGGGAAACAGTCAGTCTGGGCATTCTCCACGCTGAGCGATGCTTAGGTTGTATTCAACGCGTTTTCAGTGTGTATGCTGTTTCATACGTAAGCAGATTTCAGAGAGTCTTGGCTCTTGATCCACACTGAACGTACCATTCAGAGTGCCAAGCCAGAAAACGTCTCAGGAGAAAACACATACACTTACATTATTTACATGACAAGCATGGAATAACATCAGTCAGGGGCTGCATTACATGGCGTTGCCTTTATTATCATCGTCACAAGCGCATCAATTCGTTGAATCCCAAGAGAGACTATGTCTTTGTAGTTAGTTGGTACGCGTACAAGATATGTTTTCTGAATTGAGATGATGATCTAGATTATCAAGCTTCCAGAACGACAGTCGAATTCTTCCCAACATACGACGATCATCCATAGTAATATCTCTTGAAGCTCCTCATCGGCAAATCATACCCTAGGTACGATGTTCAGGCCTTGGCCTTACCAAGGATAGACAGTCACACAGTTTGGGTCGTCCTGACTTGAGACCGAAAGTGGGGTGCCTATATATAACATTTTTGAATCATCGCCCGAGCCCCTGTGCCATGGGTATATACGACAGAGACCAACAATTCTCTGCTCAAAAACACAATTTAGGGACTTAAACCATATGCCTTGGTTCCATGAAGACTCTACATCTGCCAGATTGAAAAGTATGTGGTTATGGTTATGGTTGGCTTTTGGAGCTATTTAAATGAAGTACTATAATTCCGTCGCCTTTTATTACCATCTGAGACATTTATCAAAGTGCTGCTTTGCAATAATGAATAATAACCTCTTATTGGGCATTTGCCCGTAGTTACTAACTTAATTCATCTACACGGAGTGGATGTGTCCCACTGAGTATGTAGTTATCACTAGATATACTTCAGTCAACTCCTGTCTTGATCTTCTAGTCTTTAAGATTTCACTAATAGTCCAGAGGAAACACTAGGATATTATCCTTTAGGATGGTTTAAGTCAGCATAGATAGTAATAGTACACTGTTATAGGCTCTATGTTGGATTGTCATGTCAATGTGCTACTGGTATGATATCATGTTAAAGGTGTTCTAAAGGCGATCTAACCCAGCGCATCAAGGACACCCACTAATAAAAAGTATGTGAGATTGCGGCTTCTGAAAATTGCACCTCGCGATGTACAGCTGTCTCCCGCTCCAGTCATTTGGAAAGCCTCAACCAATATCCTTGTTTGGAGTATTCGAGACTATCACTACCAGAGCAGCGTCTGGTGCAAACCGTGAGGTATTATATATATACTTGGTTACCGTTTGTACAGAGGTAGGCGAGGTCAACAATCAAGATACTCCAGCACTGCCGCTGGGGCGCTTATTTCCCTTTATATGCACTTCGCCTCCATTGTCTTGCCTCTCTCTCTCTGAGCAAGGCGCCAACTCGCCGTGGAGAAAGAGAGCGAGGGGGTATATTTTGTATGAGACCTCTCCCATCAAACACGCAAATCAATGGATGCTTCCATGGAGAATGACAACAGTTCCATTTACCCAACCATAAAGACCCAGCTTGAGCATAACCAAAGGTAAGATCGCGTTGGTGCCTCATTCTTCAGGCTCAGATACAGGCCCCATGACTGCTGAGGTACAGTGGCATGTCAAATGTTTGAATCCAGCGTATTTACCGCTAGCCTGATTAGGAATCCTAATAGATTTTCTATGAATCCTAGAACAACTCCCCCTAATAYTATGGACCCCATGGATGTTCTGATTGCATCTGGGGYGATAATTCTTTGCAGGGCGCCATGAGGTTAATTAATTTGGTGAGGTTTTTAAAGATAAAACTTAGTAGTAGAGTAGGGAGTCCCTAATTAGGCTAGCGGTAAATACCACTGGATTCAAACATTTGACATGCCACTGTAGACACCAAAAGTCAATCTGTATCTCCACAAAGTTTAACATGATGGCTACAATTAATAATATTGCGGCGTAGTCTATCAGGTACCATTCATCTTCAGATCGTCCAGGCCTCTAGGGCAGGGAGCGCAAGTCTCGTGTATCTTCGATTCGATTAGCGTCTTTTCAATTCCATTGAGAAATCTTCGTATTTTAAAACTCCATCCGCACTGTCATAGAGCGGCTCATCTTCATCTCTTCCTCGGCCGTGATTGCTTTTTCTGTCTTCTGACCCGTGGACTTGGGATTGGTCGTCCGTCCGTCCGTCCGTCCAGCGATTCAAGACCAGTTCGCTCCACATTGCCTCCAATGTCACTTTGTTACTAAGGAGAAATTGATCTATCACCGCCAATGTGCCTCAATAGTACCAAAACCTTTTTGGGTGTCCATGGGACGAAACCAAGCCTCGTTCATCTAAACCAATGGACCACAGTCGGATCACAGCCGAGTCTGCGTATGGAGTCTCTACACTAAAATAGTCAAGTTCTAGTCTCCATGACCCATCGCTTAGGTTCAATCCACGTATCCACAGCGCAGGCTTACCGCTACGTTTGTAGATGGCTTGATCCCAAGGCAACTGACAAAAACACTACTAGAAATACCGAACAAAATTTAGCTCAGCCTTTGAAGTCTGAACCTCCCTAGCAGGAATTTTCTTGAATAAACCCAGTATGACCGTTAGATAACTCTTATTCCACTCCTTTCCCACCTTCTTCCCCCACAAAATCCTATTCTCATGCGCGCATCACTGCCGCCGCCGCCGTCGCCAACATGAAGCTATCCAAGCCCTCCTTCAGCGTCAACTCCTCCCTCGACTCCCGCCACTGCTACGAAACCTCCTGGCTCCTCTCCCCATTCCCCTTCGCAGTCCTCCGCGCCCTAATCGCCCTCTACATCTTCGTCACCATCTTTTTCATCTGGGGCTGGGACGGCACTCACGGCAACTCCGACGCAATCGGCCAGAGCTTCAGCTACTTCACCTGGCTCACGTACTGGGGGCTGGGCTTCTATTATCTCGTCGCGGCGATCCATACGGCATGTTACGCACGCACAGGGCGCTCCGTGCTCTTCGACAGACTGCCTCGTGCGCTGCGCGCCCTGCATGCGCTCTTCTATGCGACCGTCACTACCTTCCCGTTTCTCGTGACGATCGTGTTCTGGGCGATTCTGTTTAAGCCGCCGTGGTATACGCAGACTTTTGAGGCTTGGTCGAATGTATGTGACGCTGTCCATGTTTGAACACACAAAGTAAAAGTCGCAAAGTGAGTATCGAGTGTCGCTAACGCTATGAATGATGTGCTGTAGATCTCGCAGCACGGCCTCAATTCCCTCTGGGCCCTGCTGGAAATCATCCTCCCCACCACGAACCCGCATTCGCTTCTGGCGCTTCCGGTCCTGGTGCTGATTCTCCTGCTGTATGTCTCGCTCGCGTACTTGACCTACCACACTCAACGATTCTACACCTACTCGTTCTTGAATCCCGGGCCGAATGGCGAGCATAGTGGTCGCGTGACTGCGTACTGCTTTGGGATCTTTGCTGCGATCCTGGTCCTTTTCATTCTGTCGTGGGCTGCAATTTGGTTGAGGCGGAGGCTTACCCATGGAAAGATCAAGAGGTCGGTCTACGACAAGGAGGACGTTCCTGAGATGCGGCATGTCGGAGTTTAGTCGAGACACTATGTGGTGTTTATATAGGATAATACGTAATAATAATGAGCATATATCTGTGCACGCTGCGATCCAATACTAGTTGATATGCAATTGAGTATTCTTTTTCATGAGATGTCCGTTGCGACAGAATAGAGAGGAGATGGAATTTGACAGATCAAGGCATGTCAGTGGGGGTCAGTATCCAAATCATAACCAAAAATAGGCAGAAAGATTACCGCGCATCATTGACTTTTTCCCAGCCAGTCTCACTGCTGCTATTGCTGGCACTGTCCGACGTTGTAGGGTGCCCACCTCGGAGGCCCATCATCCATCCTACCAGGCCGGCGGGAACCCACTCGCCAATAATGCTATACGACCTCGCGCCTCGGCCAGCGTATATGACCCGCTTCTTGGGCAATTTTCTTCCAAAAATATCCTTTGATGCTGGCTCCAGTGCATCCAATACCGCGTAGTGGAGCGTTCTGGCAGGTGAGCCTCGCACCGTGCTGGGCCCTGCAGATGCCACGGGCCGCTGTTCGATGCTCGAAAGGTACTGGGGCCCATAGAGTGACCGTTGCTGTGCGCTCCATGCGAGAACCTCAGTCCCAGTGACATGACTCTGCGCGTCGCGGAACTGGGGGCCGAGGTCGACGTTGCCAAGCTTCAACTCCACAACATCAATGTTCTTATGCTGCAAGAACCGCAACTCTGTCCGTAGAGAGGTCGCGAATCCTGACAAAGCACGGGCAGTAGTGACTTCAGGACAGGCAAATGGTGCTGAAAGCGACGACGATATAGAGGGGTAGAGTACGAGGATAGTGCTATTCGTGCTGCGAAGAGTAAGGAGAGGCAGGAAGATCTGAGTGGTTAGTATAGGAGAAAGAAGTCGAGTATTAATGGTATCGGCCCAGGCTGATGGTGGAATAGTGGCGACCGGGCCAGTTGTATAATTAGGAGATGGGACCAGGATAATGCCGCTTAGCTGGCAGGTATGGGGAGGTACGCCAGGCATCGGCCATTGCGGCTGTGTGATGAGGGAATGTATGTCACGCAGAGAGGGGTGAATCTCAGAAGGCGAAGGAGTCTTTAACAAGGTCAGCAATAGTTCGTCTTCTGTAATGCGGAATGGAGGCTCACTGCTGTGAGATCAAGCCAAAGGGCTCGGATGTCCATTCGGTTTTCCGACCGAACCAGCTGTTCCTCTTGAGCTGACGTGACAGTAATAAACACAATATAGCCTCGACGCTCTAAATCAGTGGCGATCGCTCTGGTCATCGGTTCATGGGGAGACCCGGCGACAACTGACCAAGTAGTTAGCCCTCATGGACAACCCGTACGGATTCCCACCTCAGTAACATACCCACTATCTCCTTTCGAGCACCATTTCCAGCCCTCCTTGCCTTCCGCCGGCGTCCATGTAGCTTGCTACTCCCAAAATACAGGACGCTGGTTGTCCCAATAAATGCGATTAAAGCAGCGCTCCATGCTCGATTTCGGATCATCCAGTCATACGCGCGATCAGTGAAAGACTGCGACCGCGCAGCATGGAAGCCTGGACATGTCTTGGGAGAAGGTCGCATCGCAGGAGGGAGCCATGATTGATGTGAGAGTGTATCGCGAATCACTGTAGCGATGTGATCGACTTGCCGGTCGATAGAATCTGCGACCTCGAGCGAGTATCTTCTTACGTCATGCGGAATCGAGGCAAGCTGGAGGTTGAAGCATCTTGTAAGTCTTGTGACTGGCAGTAAGTTGGACCAAGTAACTCACATAATCGAAGAAGAACTGGTCATCGCTCGTCATCTTGATTGGAATTTAAAATCAGAAGCGAAATGCTTGATGCCACAGAGGTTGATAAAGGCGAAAAAGTTCCACTGATAAGTGCAGTAAATGTATGTCAACTAGTCACATGAGCATGATATACTCCACAGCCCAGGATAAGGATAAGGATGTCAACTGTAGCTTTGAGTCTCAAAATTACTTAATATAAAGTTGCTATCTGTACCAGAGAATATCCAGATGATTCTGATATCTTCATGTTATTTATTAAGTGGTTTACTGTGAAATGTTGCAGGATGCATTGATCCCCACCTACGTTCTTTAATAATCACATAGTCTTGACTCCATGTAAACTAGTCCATATCTGTACTAGCCTCAGTAGTACATCTAAGCAGCTGCTTTATGCATCAAAATTGCCACAACTTCCCAGCCCTTGGTTGGCCATTTATTTCTTCAGGAGCGTCCAACAGGCCTCACTTGGTTCTGTGATGCCTGACAGCCACTTCTTGGCCTCAGGGGAAGGGTGTGAACCTTGCACGTGATTATCGTTGAAGGCAGCATGATTCTAATGTCTTCCGCTGATTATCAATCCAAAGAATGAAGTAGCAAGGCCCTTCGACGTTGTTACACTATCCTGGAGTCTACTGGAATACATAGAATGTGGCAAAAATATATTCCTCCTTGACATCTCTTTGGGACAGGGGAACTCATGCTGCCATTTTGGACAGGCTTGTACGCCCGCGCCTGACGGATATCTTTCATCTGCTGGCGCAGAGAGAGGTATATGGCAATCATTGCCAGCTTGGCATATATCCTCTTTGAACCAGCTTCAGAACTCAAACAGTATCGTTGCCACATCCTCTTTTTCCAATATCTTCCTCAGATTTTCTTCAAATCGACTCAGTTTTATTCACGGCCATCAATATGCGCGAACTAGACCCACTGGTCTCCGAGTACCAACATGACAAACACCGGCCCAGAGAAGCAGAGGCTTTGTTGATGCTCCGGAAGATCGCTTCCCTAGTCAAGCCAATTATGCGTCAGAGGGCTTGGAGGGTAGGAACACTGTGTGAATTCTACCCACAGCAACGAAATCTCTTGGGCTTGAATGTCAACGCGGGCCAGAAAATATGCCTCCGTTTGCGATACCCCTCCGACGAGCGTCAATTCCTACCTTTAGAGCAAGTAGTTGACACGATGCTGCACGAGTAAGTTGATGCTCAGATTCCAGAGAACTCGTTCATTGACATATCCAGGCTCTGCCATATTGTACATGGACCACATAATCAGCATTTCCACGCCTTATGGAACCAGTTACGTGATGAGCATGAAGAGCTAGTCATTAAAGGCTACACCGGAGAGGGTTTCCTCTCCCAAGGTAAACGCTTGGGTGGTCGGAACATGCCAATAGACGAGGCGCGCCGTGTAGCCAGAGCGGCTGCAGAGCGGAGACGGGCCCTTGCAGCAGGATCAGGGCAGCGGCTTGGCGGTTCCCCGGTATTGCGGGGAACAGATATGCGCAGAGTCATTGCTGATGCCGCGCAGAGGCGTATCGACGTGACCAAAGGCTGTGCCTCCGGGGCAGACAACAGCATTGAGCTTGCAGATGAAGCCTCTAGGAATGGGTTTCGCACGAAAGCCGAAGAAGACGATGCAAACGAACGGGCTATCATGGAAGCTTTCATTGATTTGATACAGCAAGAAGAAAGGGAGAGGTATGGGCCTTCTTACATTCCTCCTTCCCAGGAAATCCCTGCCGGGCCTCGATCAGCTCTTTCTCCTCCTCCAGTACCAGAAAACACCAAACCTAGTACCTCGACTCAGCCGCGAGACTCGATTGATCTCACCTATGATAATACCTCTTACGAACAACCCTGGACATGCCCTACCTGCACTCTTGAGAACCCAGCCAACTTCCTGTGCTGTGATGCTTGTGCCTCGGAACGCCCACGACCCTCAGCTACTAGATCATTATCTGGACCGCCAACCACAGGTCCTTGCAGCACAGACAATCGCAACAAGAAGAAGCGCCCGATAAGCCAATCTGCCAGTCAGACTGTTCTTAAGAACCGAACAAGGGCCGTGGAAACCCTCGCTGCTCTTGACAGCAGTATCGCCAAGCGGCCCTTAGGCTGGATCTGTCAAACATGCGGCACATTCATGGAAACGGAGTGGTGGACTTGTTCAAACTGTGGAATGATGAAGCAGGACTCATGAGTCAATTGCACACATTGATCTGATAAACTGTATGATATGATGATCTCTACGAGAAACGACTCCATACTTTTAACTTGATAATATAGACTTCGATCGAGGATAAATGTCAATAAATTATTTGTCCAGTCGAGCACGATTTAAGAACTTACGCCACTATTCCAACCATGTAGCTTTTAAACTGTTAATAGTTGCACTTTGCAATATCTTTGTCTTCAAGCGTCTATGCATGCCAGTAATAATCACGTGATTAGATATGCTCCCCACAACGATCCTTGGCAGTTGAATTTTCCTGGTCAACGACGATTTTCTTCCACTTTTTCTTCTTTCCTCGTGGTTATCAAGCTTCGCTCTTGACATCAAAGAAAGCTGTACAATTTCTGCAGCTCCCATTCCAACAACTTGAGACACAGAACAACTTACAGCTAAACAGAATTGGTATGCAATACTCTTATCCCACCCAACTCCAACCGAAGCCCATCTCGAACAAGAACAAGCTCGAAAAGCAAACAAAGCCCAATCACAACCTTCTCCTAGATGATGAGAACATTTTCTTGAACCGATACTTTTAGGAAGAGCCGGAAGAGGTATGACTTGAGGAGATTACCATATCAAAATTGGGGTCTCCCTTGTCGTCGGTGCTTATAATGGTTCTGCTGAGTGGAGTTTCGGGTTGATGATTTGGGCTTTTTTGCTTCGCTTGTGTCTTTCTTGTTCGTGGGAGGCATGCGGTATGGGGTTTTGGACCGTCGTGGCATTGCCCTCAGCGTCTCAGTTACTGCCTCCGATGATGGATTGTGCTGACTGCTTGAAGTGACAGGTTAAACTACTCTTCGCTTGATTGCGAAAGCTCGGTCTTTTTGCACTTGTGCAACTGCATTTATATGTCGGAATCGAATATCTTCATGGTACAGACTCAGAATATATATGTCTAGAAATCAAGATACTCTATTAACTGACCAACTTTTTGCCCTTCTCGAAACTCCAAGGATATAGAACTTTCGTAGCCGACCTCGACCAACATAGTGTAAACAATCACAACGCCATATATGCACCGATAAAAAATACATGCTCGTAGATTGAGTAAGCCCTTAAGACGCAATTTGGACAAATGCCCGCTTCTTGCCTGTCCCCGTCACCTGTGGGTGCTCCTGCTCCCACGTTTCCTCATCGACGTAGTCCTTGGTGCTCGCTTCCCGCACTTGCTGGCCTATGATCTGCAAAGCAGAAAGGTTGAAGCCCATCTCGTCTTTTTGACGGGTGAGGACTCGACGCAGGGTTGACCGGATACTATCCAGCATAGGTCGCATCATCTTGCTGGCAATAATCTGACGATGGTGCGTCTTCAGCATGAAGAACAGAACACGGCACGTGAGAGGAATATTCCAGCTTCGGTTGGCCCAGATATTGAGGAAAGTGAAAAGCGCAGGGACTTTGGAGAACGGCAGAACGAGCAAAGCATCCTGGAGTGCCGCGGCAGGGATCCTCTGAACCACACTAAGCACATGCTGCTCGGCTGAGATGTTACCCAGTGCCATGTATAGAGGGTTGCGAGCCGGCGGTGCCGCGTTTGGCTGGGTAGCTTTGACGGCGCGCCATTGCCGCATCACCTCGAGGTCTGCAATACCCAAATCCAGAGCCTCCATGATCTTTTCTCCGGCCATGAGCGTTTCGGTGGTCTGCTTCCCAGCATCGACTGCCTCGGCCTTCTCTCCGTCTCCATCCTCATCCTGCTCAAGAGACGCCGTCAGAGTGTTATCATACATTTCTTCAAGCTCTTTCTCGCGCTCTTCTTCCAAGAAGAGCTGCTCATCTGTCTGTTGCCAAATGCGAATGCTCTTGTCGTGGCTAGCGCTGACTATGAAATCGCCGGAATGGCTGATAGTCAGAGCCCAAATTTCACCGTGATGGCCTTGGAGTTTCTGAATGTGCTCGAATTTGTCACCATCCCAATATTTGATGACACGGTCCTTGCTCGCGCTGAAGAAGTTGTGGCCGTTGCCCTCCTTGTTGGTAGGAACGAAAGCGACGGCCATGATACTGTCCTCATGGGCCAGGAGTGCTTTGTGGCAATCACCAAAGTCCAGACCCCATAGTCGAACTGTCTTGTCCGCGGAACAAGTAACAATGAGCTTGCTGTCATAGGAGATGTCCATATTGAGGACAGGAAGCTTGTGGCCATAAAGGTTGAGGAAGAGTTTTAGAGAGTCGGTAAAGAAGACCTTGACGGTGTTGTCTAAGAGGGCGACTGCAAGCAACCGAGCGTCAGGTGAGAAGCGAAGACTGAGGATGTCATCCGCAACTTTCAGGGTTCTTGTATGTACCAATTTGAGGCGTGGTGTAGTTCGTTTGGTGCCGGGGATTTCTTCCTGGACAACCTGGAAATTCCAAAACTTCGCGGACTTGTCAGCACTACCACTAACCATCGATTTGCCATCGGGATGGACGTGCAGAGACCAGACTGGTCCTTCGTGTGCCTTGATCGTATCCAACAGGGTCGAGGATGCAATGTCAAAAACTTCCAGTTCGCCGTTCTTATTACCCACCACAACGATCTTGTCACCGGGGAGGAAGGCAGAGCACAGGGAATAGCCGCACTCCAAGGTACGCAGGCAGCTCTGCGTACGAACGTTCCAAATCTTCAAGCTGCCGTTGGAGGCAGAAGCCAGCATTCGGTCGTCGGAACTCAGGGCAATAGATCTGATGTCGGTACGGTGACCCGGGATATCAACAGCCAGGTTGCGGTTGTAGTCGGAGTCATCATCATCCTTCTTCTTATTCGCAGTGATAACGCTGTACGATTCCAACTG